TGGTGCAGGTAGTGCGACTTGGAGGACGAGTTTACAGAGGATGGGATGGAGGGGATGGAGTTGAAGGAGTGCGGTAAATAGGGGAGGACCGATCATGGCCTGGTTCCTGACAAGAGGGTGTGGGTGTGATTGGGGTGGCAGAGACCAGGGATGAGTAGAGCACCGGGAGCCAGCGGGTGCGAGTGGTGACAGTCACCAAGCTCGGGGCAAAGGCAGATGGTGTGGAAGGTGGCGGGTGGGATCAGGAGCGATGGCCTGTTGTGGCGGTCGGCTGCTGGAGGAGCGGGTTGTCGAGGCGGACGCGGACGAGCTCGATGACGTCGTCCGGAATGACCGAGCCGTCAACGAGGAAGAACTTGTGGACAAAGGAGCCATTGACGCGGAGCCACCATGCGTGGTAGTTGTCGGCAGCATGGCCCATGACCGAGACGACGGCCGAGAATCGGCGGCCTTCCGCTTCTGCCGGTGCCTCTAGCAACTGGAGCTCCGGATGGGCCATGTTGAGGCAAGTAAAGAGCTCAGTGACCGAGAGCTTTGACCGGGGGGTGGAGACCCACGAGGCGAGCGAGGACTCGGACGAGTCGACCCGCTCCATTGATGTTGTTGTGCTCTTCGGAGACGATGACAAGCCCGGTGATCTTGGTGAGCCTGGTGAGCCGTGCGTGTCTCCGGAGAGGAGGCTGGCAGAGCCACCCGCCGCAGTGACTGCGGTGGCTGCCGGTGGTGGTGCGAGGTTGGCCGACGACGGCGCGAGGGCAAAGGAGACGGGCGTGGAGGAAGGCGAGAGGAGGACTTCGAGGGCATACCCGCGCTGCACCGTGGAGTAGTAGTGCTTGGGCAGTTGCCGCTTGGGTGAGGCAGGCAGCTGCGGCTTGCGTGACGAGCCACAGCCCATGGCGGCAGTCGGGTGTACCCCTGCCACGGCAATGCGGAGGATGACGCGACTCGCCCATTCTGACCCACTTTCGATTGGCAAAACTGCTCCTCCCGGCACGCGTGGGTTGCATGTCGTTGCGAGAGTGGGTTTGTTTTCCGTCGAGGTCGGCTTTGGGGATCGAGGCTCGCTGACTATGGTTCTTTTTCAAGGAGATGGTGCTGTGCCAGAGGCGAGGGATGGGGCAGCGTACATGCTGGCTCGTGGAAGAGGCTGCGCGATAGCGATGACGAGGGGAGGGCGCGCGGAAGAGGTGCGGCAGTTTGTTGTAGTTGCAAAGATGGCTCCACCACCGGGTCAGGTCGGATCATTGGCCCAATAGTCTGTTTCCCAATTTCGCCTCCAATCACGTGGTCTCCTAGTTGGACGCAGTCCAGGGAGGCAATCACCGGAGTTGTGACGATCGTAATTGCCTCCCTAGACTCTGGCAACGTACTCGAACAAGCAACGGTGGTCCCGCCGTGGACGAAAGCTATGCGTTTTGTAGTGAAATCTGTCTGATGGTCGCGCGTGGTCCGGGCGCGCTCCAAGCGCGGTACGTATGGGCTAGATCGCGTAGGTGGGCGTCTGGGTGCTCCACGTTTTCAGCCTTGTGTCCGCGGCTGAACGTGAGTAGACCGAGGTAGAAACAGGCATGGCCGGGTTGGCTTGGCAGATGTGGTTGTCGGACAAGGCGTGCGAGAGTGGCTCGATGCTGCCCGCTTGACTGCTGTGCGGCGTGGTGGGTGGTGACGGGCGCTGAGCAACAACTATGTCCGAGTGCTTCCGCGGCGACGGCGTGAGCAAGCCAGCTGAAGTGCTCTCTGTACGGGTACTTGCCAGATTGGGCTGGATGGCGGTGATGATGTCGGCCCGGGTTGGGCGAGTGCTGAAGCGGACGACAGACAGGGCCGCCCGCGGCACAAGGGCGAGTTCGAGCACATCACCAGGCATGACCGACCGACAGGTCGCGGCCTTGTGAACGCCATGCATCTCCATGCCGTTGAGCGAGAGGCGCCACCCTTGCTCGGCGCAACTCCCCCATCCACCAGCAGAGATGACGGCGGCGACCGGCTCGGGAGATGGCAGCTCGACGTCAGCCGCGCCAACGTGAATGTCATTGCAGTTTGTGACTGCCTGCATCGCCTGTTGCCGCCATCCCCCCGCTGAGTGTAGGCACCACTCGGTGCCGAGGTTGATGTCGAGGTCGGGATGAAGAACAGCGAGGGCAGCGATGACGCCCAGTGGCGTGATGCGACCCTGGAAGAACCAGGCGCCAGATTCGGCATTGCGCTCGGCAACGATGTCATGTAGCGCATCGACTTCTGATGCTAGCTCGTACCTGGCCTCGTCGGGGCCAAAGCTAATGACGATGGTGAGACTGGTCAGCGTTGACTCGGCAGCCGCGAGGCATGGGTTTGGCGAAACGGCATTGGCCGATTTCGCTTCGTGGTCACGATGAAGTGGTGCGGCATGGACAATGATGTGCCGGCCACCAACATCCGCAGAGCGTGACGAGCTGCACCCCATTCGAGGACGTCCGTGGGCCGACGGAGCTGGGCACGAGGTGCTTGGATGGCTCCGTCAAAGTGAACTGTGCGATGGCTCTGAGGTGCGGATGCGGCAGTCCGTCACCTGACCCGATGGACGGCAAAACGTAAGTGTGGCCAAAAAGGTACGTTTTTTACACGACTCCTTATCTGCCAAACCTTTTTTCTCGCTTCACATCGACGAGTACGGCCCGCTCAAGGCCGGGGTGGGCGACGGCGTTGAGGCCAGCTCCGAGTCGCACAAAGCGAAATGAGCCTGGTTGACCAGCATATTCGCCTCGTCGAACAAAGATGCGATGTCGAGATACGGGCTCGGAGTGTCGGTCGGCGAAATGGTGGTTGGGGCGCGCGGGACGGCGCGAACGGTAGCGTCGGCGCCAAAGCACACACGGCTGGTCGTGTCACAATCTGGCACAACGTCGTCTGACATCATCGACCGATTGGTTGGAAACTCGCAGGTGCGTGAACCTGCCGGCGACGATGTGCCTGCTGAGGGATAGCAGCTTGAGTCAGACATGTGCGGGAGGCGCGGGCAGGCGAACGTGCGCGGGCGCCGAAGCGAGGAGCGAGCGACAAAGACGAGCTCGATGACGTCACCCGAAAAGACATCGTTGAGCGCGACTTCGGCCAGCTCGCACTCGATGCCGTTGAGCAACATGCGCCAAGCATGGCTCTCATCGGCACAAACGTTGTTGATGGCGGTGACCGCGGCGATCGGGCGGGCAACCTTGTTGTAGACGGGGGGCAACCACTCCGACTTTTGACTGATGACCAGATCACCATATTTGACCTGAACAGCGTTAAGCAAGTTGCCGACAGTCATAGAGTAGACCAAGCCCGAGCTCTCGGTGTCAACGCCGGGGTATTCGGCTCCGGAGAAGGGGACGAGGCGACCGTGGCAACTCTTGAACGCGGCCGTGTCAGAGGTGCGGGTGTAGGCGGTCAAACCATTTCTCGCTTGAAAAGGCCTTGACCGTTCGTTTGACAGGTTAAAATCTGCGTATTCCGGACAAAGAACGTACCCGCTCGGCAGGCGGCGGGTAGAGTAGTCGACACGGACCACGAGGGGCTTGCTAGCGAGCGTGGACATGCGCGATGTCACGACTTGTGGCCCCACTAGGCGGGGCAGAGTCTCGAGCTTGGAAGGCAATGTGTTGCGGGACGTGCCACACCCCATGGTGTTTTCACAGCAAGAGGAGGTGGGAAGAAAAGTGGCTCGCGAACTACGGTAAAGGTGGTCGGACATGGCTCACGTTTGCTACCGAGACCGGATGCCGTCGTTTCGCCATTACGTGAAAAAGGAGAGCAATCAATCACAGACGCTCCCACCGAGTGTTGGCGGGCAGCGCGGCCGGCCAGGAACCCGCACCAGTTGGATGTCGTCAAGGGCGGTGACGTGGCCGAGGGCAACGCGAGCGTAGTCAACACGCACGCCATTGATCCGCAGCATCCACTTGGCGGTTGGGGTGGACGGTAGGCCGGCGACGGCGACAATGGTCGCGGCGCAAGTGCTCATCTCGCGGTCCCACACGGTGGCCTCGACGAGACCCAATTTGGGGAACTCACTGGCAAAAATAGCCAGCAAGTCGGATACGGTCACCCGCAGCACGCCAGAGTCATCATAGTATGCATCCGTGGCGGTTGGTGTGATCGCGAGTGTGGCCCGCGCAGAGAGGGTAGCCAGAAGGGAGACAGCCGAAGGCGAGGAGATGAGGTCTTCAGCGGGAATTGAGCCTGGCAGAACGCCCGTCCCCAACTGCCTCACTCGCTCGAGAGAAAGTGTCACGTCGAGCATGGGCCGACTGCCGCAAATGTCGACCACATGGAGAACAAAGTCCGTCGTGCCAGGAGCAGACTCTCTGACTCTAACCGTACCGGGTGGTTCTGCAACTGGACGGGATGCGCCACATCCCATATTGCACAGCTGTGAGAGGTGTTTCTGGTTGCTGTAGCGAGCCTTGACCTCTACAAATCCCGCAGCCAATCAAAACAAAAGGTACGTTCTTGGCTCGTGTTGCCGGGGCGGTGAGAGCGGGCCTTGTCCCACACGCCATGCGTGATTGGTGGTTGGCGCAAGAGTGCTGTCGACTGCTATCAGCCAAGCACTCGACAGCCGCCACGCGGAGGTAGACTAGAGTCAACTAGGCAATCAGTGGCTCGTGGAGGCTCCAAAGTGGTCTCATTGCCGACGGCGGCTCAATCGGCGGTGAGGACGGCGAGCAGGTCGGTGACGGCCGGTCGGTCCGAAGGCTCCTGGGCCCAGCATGAGGTCATGAGTTCGTGGAGCGGGTGACTGAGGCTCAAGGCGGCTGATGAAGGGCGCCGACCGTCGGTAACAATAGCAAAGATGACGGCGAGCGGATCCGAGCCGGCAAACGGCGGCTCGCGGGCGCCGAGAAAGTAAAGCAGCATGCCAAAGGCGTAGATATCGACAGCGGCGCCGTACGGCTTGCCGGCAAGAATCTCTGGCGCCATGTACGCAGGCGTCCCGATTCGAGTCTGAGCCGAGCTCTCGGCGTCGGCCATCCGGCGCGAGATGCCAAAGTCGCAGAGGACCGCCCGGCCGTGCTCGTCGACCAGCACGTTGCCGGGCTTCAGATCACGGTGGATGATCGGCGGCGACGCGAGGTGCAGGTGGGCGAGGCCCGAGGCAATGTCCCGTGCTGTCCGCACTAGCGCCGCGCCCTCGCAGCAGAGCTCGGGAACAGCAGCGACAGCCTGCGCGAGGTTGTACGGCAGGTACGGCATGACAAGAAATGGCCGCTCCGCCGACGAGCACACACCAAGACATGCCACGATGTTGGGATGGCGCAGCTTGAGCAGAAGCGCCACTTCCGAGTAGAAGACCTGAAGCGTGGCGGCAGAGACCTTGTGCAACCGCTTGACCGCCACCGGTGTCCCACGCCACCGGCCGCGCTTGACCTCGCCAAACGTGCCCATGCCCAACGGCTCGCCCAGCTCCAGCTCGAGCGGCTGGATCTCCCACTGCGCAAGCAGCGCCTGCTTGGCAGCGCGCTCGGCGGCAGTGTCCATCCGTAACCGCGCCTTGCGGCCCACACCAGCCGCGCCCTCCTGCGCTCTGCAACCACCGTCGTCGTCATTGGAGCTCTCTGCCGCGCTTGCCGAGTCGCTCGTGCAAGCCACTGCCGTCTTAAACGCCGATGGCGGCGCAGTGAAGCTGCCGTCAAGCGGCTCGGTCGCCGATGACGACGACGCAGAGCAGGCCGCTGGTCTTTCCGTCACAACCTCGGTGAGCGAGCTCGTCGCCGAGCCCGACTCTGGGCCAGAGTGAGAATTCGAGGCGGTGCCCACGGCCTGGGTTGCGTCGTCGGACGACTCGGATTCGCCGCGCCCGTCGCTGCCGGCTTCGTGTGGATGCCAGAACATGGCAGCGTGCCGCAGATTCTTGCGCCAGCGGTAGCACGACGTACCGTACCGACACACGCGGCGCTTGGCGCTCGGGGCGCGCGAGCATGCAACATCGTCGTCGTCCCCGCTGCCTCCTGCCGCCGCCCGCCGCCGCTTCAAGCTCGGTGGCGGCTGGCTTGCCTCGATCCGCACCGTAAGCAGCGGTGCACCACGGACAAGTCGGACGCCATCGCCGTCGGTCAGGCAGACGGCCGCCCCAGCCGCCAGTCGCGACACAGCCGCCGCCGCCGCCATCGTCACTTCCGCCGCATTGGCGCCGAGTTGGTGGAGCTCAAGCGCGCCGGCAACCGCATCAAAGCTCAGTCGCACCTGCCGCCGAGAGCACCGTCGCGCAGCGTCGCCGGCGGCCGGGCCACGGCCCAGAACAGTAATACCGGGAGGCAGCGGAACCCTCAGGCCACCAGCGCCCTCTAGCCAAGCCACGTGAGTCGTCATGTGGATTGTGGCGGGCAACAGATCCGTGGCGGGGAGTGATCAGTCTCGGGCTCCTCCGATCCAACCACCGCTGGACTGTATCAGATCAACGATCTGCGTGGTCGTCTCACTTCCTCTCTTCTCCGCTCAGTCTCCTTTGTGTGCGGCACAAACTGCGAGCTAGGCACTTGCGCCCACAATGACTACGACGTATCGTCAGACAAGAGTCAGGACGACAGTCGCGTGCGCCGTGCACCTCGCCAAGCTCCCTCGAGTAGAAGGAGGAGCAACGGTCGTCAAGCTATAGGGAAGGAGGGATGGGGGGGA